AAAAATTGAAAACTTACTTTTATTTACTGTTTAATTAAAAAATAAAATATATATTATTAAATATATATTACTTTTTATTTTTAAATATTATTAAAAATATATTATTATTTTTATATTAAAAATATATTACTTTTAAGAATATTTTATTTTTTATATATAATTTAAAAATATATTATTTATTTTTAAATATTATTAAAAATATATTATTTTTATATTATTAAATAATATATTATTCTATTTTTATATATTATTCAAAATATATTATTAAAAATATATTATTTTAGTTATATATATTATTAAAAAAGCATTTATATATAATTTATTAAAAGTATACTATTTTTTAAAATGAACTTTTATTTATTTTTATAATAAAAAATGATAATGTCATTCCATTCTAGTCCTATTCCTTCTGCATACCAAACGCATCAATGACAAAACATGTTTCATTCCATTCCCATAATCATTCCATTCTTCAATTCATTGCATTCCTACGAAATTCCATTCCATCATACCAATCATGCCATTAGTTGATAGTCATGATGACCTTACTACTTTTTCTGTGAATAAATTTAGCAATTGAGGCCCATGAAAAACAACAACATATTATTCAGAAAATTATAAATAATAATAATGTTTTTCTTTATTCATCTCTTGCATGATCGACAATCCATTTGTGTAATTTTTCATTTCAGTTTCATATCTCTACCTATATACTTTTGCCATTAATCTTATTAATTTTCTTATTTAATAAAAAAAAATCGTTATTCGATACCACCTTAGTCCCCATAATCCCTCGATTAAACCACCCATTTATTATGGTTGATGTCTATCGTCAACAAAATGGCGTTAGAGGAAGGGCTGCCATCAAGGGTAGCCTGTGAACCTCTCTCTATAAATAGTCATATCCTACATAAACTTTGCTTAATGCCAAACACCATCTACAACCCCCCTGGATGATGTATATTGCTAAAAGAACTTCAGGTTAAAATGGGTTACACGACCGACCCTCTGAATAATTCTTTCATCCCATCACTCTGTCAAAGCAAATGATGGTTTGTACACTGAAAGCGTTGCTTCTTTGAACATTATTTCCGTTTGGAAAAAAAAGAATCGTGTTTAGTCAATGTTTGTTCAACTTACTTTATTTATGGATATGTCTTTTGTCCTGTTATTCACATTGAAGATAATATAGTGTGACGTTTTCTCACACAGAAGATTATATTATCGGTTCCTTGTACAATATAAATAAGGTTCATAATTGAGATAACAATGGATAAACCTATGAGTATAATTTGAGTTAGTTTATCTTAACTAATGAATTATACTAGTGCATTTTATATGTATTGAACTGGACCACAGAGGAAAAAGTTATTTTATACTGACCAAGTAAATAAACTAGACTTCATGATATCGCTCG